ATGGCCGCTCATCTTCGCTTAGTGACGAGTTTAAAAATGCACGGAGCTTTCCTGACCTTTGTCCTAAGTCTTCAGATTTGTAAGCAGTGCTCGGTGTATAAAATATTATCTGATATTAATATGCAAATGCGTAAATGGACAACGCTGATTAATTGGACATGTTGTAAATCGCCAGGCAGTGAAGTGAGTGGCCTCAAAGAGAAAGGAGAAGAGAAACTGAACGCCGAGGTAGGAGAGGCTGTTCACTGCATGGAGGTGAGTTGTCAGCGTCCCTGCCCGGGAGAGAACTCATCGAATGCAGCGACGCGTGGCGTTCTTTGCACAGTGACTGCGACATTGCTGGTTTTTCGGCGTGTGTGCCCCAGACCTTCGGGTAGTCTAGTCACAGGGGCTGCTAACACAATCGGCTAGACCTACCCTTGTCTGCAGAGTGTCATCGTATAGACACAGACGCCACTTGCAATTTCCTTGCCTCTTTGCTATTGAGTTAAAGTAATTTCAAGACAAAAGTTTCATACGTAACTGATGTTGCTGGCTTTGGAAATGCACAATGCCAGTGGAATCATCAAGCAATTGCCCTCGTCATAATTTGCCTCACGACCACTTTACTGAAATGCACAAGCAGCCTCAAAAGCGCGCAGGTTTGTGGCTGGCGCGCGCTTCTTACGACCCTCAGCCTCATCCCCGAGGTCTATCAACGTCCCTACCCTGAAGATGGCTGTCTTCTGGGCTGTTGCGCCGGTTAGGCACCGCTCATTCCTGCGCTACGCTTATTTTAAAGCGTATGTGTCGAGAAAGACCAAGCTTCGGCGTGCCTGAAAAACCTTTTCTGTCCATCTGTAGGATCAGCATTACAGAACTGATATAAGAAGTTAATGTCTTGTATTGACGTGTGTATTTATTGAAATCGCATTAAAAGAATTTAGACTTTCAGTTGATGTACTGCTGCGTGTTGCCCAACGTACACCAAACTCGTTTTGGTGTAAAAGTTCTGTTAAGGTCACTCGGGATTGGATTCGAGCTGAACGCCGCGAGTTCGATTTCCGACAAGCTTTCCAGTTTTGTCCTTGTCGCCGCATCTCTGGAACTCAGGGTCCTTCCTGGATAAATTGCCCAGGACGTGAAGGTGGTCTGCGATTCCTATCTGTAGCAGAAGGCTTGGCCCTTTGGCCTTTCGTCTTGACGGCGTTGTGCCTGCTCGTAGCTGAAGCCTCTTCTCAAAAGGTTTTGCTATTTGCGGTTTGCATGCCATGAAGGAACAGGTTCCTTTATGTAGGACACTCGTATCTTGGTCCTTGGTATTTGGACTAGAAATTCCAAACCTAATAATAATAATAAATTTGGATTCTGAATTACCACTTCCGAATTTATAACTTGTGTTGGGCAAGGCCGTGGTCTAGGCAACACGGAGTTTTTCTCCGTGGCATCCCAACAATTACTCCATTCACACACAGAAGAAGGCAATGGCAAACCACTTCTGGATCATCTGCCAAGAACGTATATGAACAGGTCCCAGTCCGAGACAAGGATGGAAGGATCCTGTTCATATGGACCTGTCGTCACACAGAACACTAAATAATAATATAATAATAATCTAACAATAAAATTATATAATGCATGTAACACGTATTAAAAACAAAATGTATTTCGCAAATAGCTACTGCACTATGTACCTTAGGGACAAGTTTTGTCTCGGGTACATAGAAGTAAATACTCTAAAAGGGGGGAAATAGATGGAATAATAATAATAATAGTTATAATAATTTAATACATGATTTTTACGGACTAACGTTAACAGCTGTAAGAGACAAACACATCCATAATAAAGACACCAAAAATGAAAATAAATGTACATTGTATTTTTACGCAGCTTGTACCATTTACCTAATTTCCGCAGTTTCGGCATTAACGTTGTTTATCAGAACACCCTGTATACTGCCATTGTGGTGGAGCAGCGTGACGAAGCGTGACCCCTCCCAATGCAATATTTCAAATTACTGAGGACGTAAAAGAGATTTAATTTAAGTTGGTATTAGAATGTGTATTTCGAGGGAAGTTAAGCGACGTTAAGATAGAATAAATTCGCGTCACACCTCCTTGAAGGCTGCAGTCGTTTCGCGCGACCGACGGACGGACGGACGGACAATGAGGCGGAGTGCAGAACATGAACACATAATAGCGACGCCTCGGGCCGTGCTCAGGTCAGCGGTGTGCGCTGGCCTCGGCCTGGTAGCACAGATAATTTTCGGGCTCGGGTCTGGTTAAAACGATAGCAAGCAAACGCTAGACAGAACATTTCGGGCTTTTCTCGGGCTATTCCTTTTTCGCAAAGAAAAAGTTGTTCGTAGTTGCGCTCCTCTGTTGCTCGTGACACGTTTGGGCTCCGGAAATAAGTCCCACCGACTTGATTTTTCCGTAATTTCGCCGCCTCAGAAAAAGTTCTAGATAACACCTCACACCTGGCATTCGACGAATTTGTGCTGTTCCCCACACGCCAGAAATAACCTGACGTGTTTTAGAGCGTCATTGAATAATTCATTTAAGGATTACTGACATTACGTACTGAAAGAAGCGTGGGTTAACGGTACGACAGTTGGGGCAGATTGTAAATAGATCGGACGTTTTCGGGCCGGAATAAAAATCGATCTTCAATGGGGCACGGGTAACATACGAGGTGCGATCGGAAAGTTTCAAGACTGCGCCTATAAAAACCCGTACACTTATCTCAGGTATTAAATTCATCCATCACCCTCGATGTAGTTTTCCTGGGAGTGAACACAACGATCCCAGCGCCGCTGCCAAGCCTGGAAGCATCCCTGGAAATCTTTCTTTGTCAGCCTGTCAAGCACCATCTGCGATTCTGCCTGAATCTCTTCTATCGTCTCAAATCTCCTTCCCTTTAGCTGAATTTTCATCTTTGGGAAGAGGAAGAAGTCACACGGAGCTTAGAAAGGAAGCTGGGGTCGGTTCTTGCAAGATCTTTAAACTCCTGACAAACGAGAAGTCGATTCTGCTTCTAGTCCTCTGACAGGATGCGTCGCATGTGGAGTTCTTCCTTTAGAATCAGCTAACAGGTCCCATAGCCTATCCCAACAATGTCGCACAAATCGTTGATGGTACGACGTCGATCTTCGTAACAGTTTCGGGCGTTGTGCTCGAAGATGGTCGTCCAGAACGCTCGTCATCATCGACAGAGATTCGGCCATTTTTAAAACGTTAATGCCACACAAAAGTTTGTGCACGACCCATTGCGGACTCCCCAAATGCTTGCTTTAGCATTTCATAGGTTTCCGTAGCCGTTTTGGCGAGTCTTTGGCAAAATTTGATGCACATGCCATTCCGAAACTGCAGGAGGGTCGGTGTAATGCACTACCAAAACGCCCGTAACTAAGAAACAAATGCTAATTCGATGATGCCGGCTGGCACACTGATTCACTATGTATGTAGGCCGCACCCCCTAAAGGCAGAAGCTCGTACTACATCCGGTTCGCCCTCTATTGACACAGTCTTGAAACTTTCCGATCGCACCTCGTATTTGAAAAATAAAACCTCGGGGTTTGGGTCGTATGAGGCCAAATTGTCCTGTGGCTGGGTAAAATGGTACAATTTCGGACCCGTACACACCTTTAGCACAGATTTAATGGATCTTGATTACTGCCTGTTCAGTGTAATCGCAACTTCATGTGAGGGCGGGCCAACGCCTTTAGTTGGCTGACGGAACGCCTGGTAGGTGCCGTCACTGACTTCTTCATCTTTTGTTTTCGACATTTACGACACCCTATAAAGTAGAGAATAATTTCTGAATATTTTTATATGGCAGATGTTAAAAGGTTATGAAACAGTGCAATTGTAAATAATATATATTTTTGCAAAATCACAACGTATTTCATCTGTCGCTGAAGCACACGGCTCGTTCCGCCAGCTACGGTCTCCGTTTACCTCCTTCTCCTTCCTCGCTGCGATCTATCATTCCCCGAGGCGTCACTTCGTCTGTGGCGACGCTGGTGTCGGAGGAGAGGCGCCTGAGCAGAAGAAATGTGGCGGAAAGTTGGCGAACGCTGCGAGGAAACTATTTATACGAACTCGGGAGCTTGGGGTGTGTAAACCATCGCTCAGAGAGATGAAATTCACTTCATTCCAGTTTATTTCAGGAGCTGCACGGGGGCAAACGAAGACTGTGATCTACATTTCATCTTCATACATCATCGCCGAATTAGCACTGGGCTATTTACGTAATGTGCTATAAAGTAATACGCACCTCGTGCCACTCGTAGATTCCTCCGTGTTTAGGCGTGTTCGAAACCTAAAGCTTCAAAGATGCCATGTCTGTCTGTCCGTCCGAGAACAGAAGTACAGATTTTTATGAACATTTTATATCGCGAGGGACCTTTCGTTTCAGTGGGTCAACATTAACAGCGGAAATGACCTTGAAGCCGTGTGTATGTGTGTGTGTGTGTGTGTGGGGGGGATCCCTAGTCCGACACCCGCTCACGTGGGGAGTACTTCGTGATGACGCCACCATCCAGCCCGAAACACGCCGCCCAAACAAATCTGCCATCGACTGGCGCCAACCTGAAAGATCAAAGGTGGATGCCATGGGTGTGCATTCACGAGGCCGCGACGTAGCTCAGGCGGTTAGGTGCCGATTTCTCAGCGCCGGGACAGGTTTCTTTCTCTCCGAGTGATTAGCTTTTCCTCAGTCATCATAATATCACTCCTGCATTGTCCGGGGGATGGCAACACCGCGGTTGCACGCAGCGCGACGGTAAACAAACGATTTTAAAATTAACGAATTTAAAATCCAGGGGGCAGTGGCGCGTCGGAATATTGTGACGCCGTGCTTATATTTGTGACTTGTTAGCGAGTTGACAGGTTGGCTTTAATACATTTTCGCTGCTCTATGGGCGGTCGGACGGAAGGTTTTTTATGTCCGATGATGTCGTCTCGTATCAGAACGCAAAGAAGGGAATGGGACCAAAATAGCCAGACAGATGTTCGGCTACGACGAACCTTAATGCCATTCAGGAATCCCGAGCAGGAGTGCAGTGTCTCGTGTGCGAATAGACGCCGCGTTTCCTCCTGATATGAGCGTGGTTCGCACACTGTAAATTCTGTTGGAACAGTTCTTGCTGAATTTCGGTCGCTTAGTTTATAGGAAGTTTTTTTCCCTGGGGATGACTCACGCTCTTCTAATGCTACGTTGCAACAGCCAATCAGAGCGGACGAGCTTTGCAATGGCCGCTCGGAAACTGATGTCGTACATTTATCTTGAACGAGAGGAACTAATCAGTAGACGCAGGCACAGATTGGACGACGACGTTAAAATTGATTTTACACAACTGTGGCGCGAGTGTTTGGTTTGGATTGAGCTAGCTCAGAGCACTCCGAATAGTATGATTCTCGAATGACGACGAAGAACCTCCGTAATATAAGTTTCTAATGCGAAGTTGATTTAATTGTTAAGTCAGTAGGCCGCCGCCCATCTCTTTTTGGCGCTTTTTTGAATCCTTGGTACGAAATAAATAAAATGAACTCGTGGTGTGGAGGTCTGTGTAGAAACATCAAGTGTGCATAAAGTTTTTGTACCGGCACTCGTTTCTTGCCCAGAAAACTGCCGAGCGAATTACCTCCTGCTCCTGTGGTCGGCGTTAAACAGAAAAGCGAAGCGACACTGTAAGCGTATATTAACATCAATAGTAGAAATCGATCTCCGGCTGTAGGTTAGGTTAGGTTAGGTTGGTTAGGTT